AAGAGATCATATTTGTCGCATATCAGCATCTATGCACTGGCTCACTGTAAAATCCAGAATCGAATTTAAAATCTTTCTGCTCACCTATAAAGCACCATCTTATCTTAAAAAGCTCACCTTTGTACCCCACCAGGGCACTGTGTTCCCAGAATGCAGGGTTACTTGTCACCAACTGCTTGCTCATGGTGGGAATTGCTTTGTAAATAATTTTACAGTATTGTCTTGATCTGCTCTATATGAAAACTGCAGTGGGATGGCGGTTATGAACTGGCACTACATAAATAAAATTGCATTGAAATGAATTGATTTCAGACATGACAGGACAAATTCGGAATAAGCTGCAGGCTTCACATGAGTGAGTGAAGGGAGGGAGAGGGGGAACTTTGGTGAGTTAAAATGAGAAGGAAGAAGACATTATTTTGCTTTTTTTTTTATCAGGTTTTAAACCGTAAGTTGCTGTTGAAGCCTTAATTAATGATCACTGCGAGTGTGAGGGATGTTTGTCGTCTCTAACAGAGCAAACTCTGCTCCCTGTTTATAATGTTCTCTTGTTAAATTCCTATTAGCTTACATGATGTGCGTGTAATGCATTTATTGGGATATTCGTTAATACATTCAGGCAGTTGATGAAGTGAGTGCAAGAATTTTCTTCTGCACTGGACACACCATGAAGGGCAAAATGTTTTTATAGACTGATCTATGAGAAATCTCTTGAACATCTTAAAAATGATCATTTTTTTCAATACTGTTGAGACCTGGGAAGTCCTTATTAATTGGAGAGCTGTATTATTTTGACTACAGTATGGCAAAGTGGAAGGAATTCTCACACCCTTCAGAAGATAAATGGAGGGAACAATAGATAAATTGATCAACATCTTGTGTGCAATGTTTTTGCACAATGCTTATGAATTCCTCTCTTAAAAAACAAACAAACAAAAAACAATAAGGTGGAACACACTACTGTGCATGTGTGTGCATGGGGCTTATGAGCTTGTTGAGCAATTTCATCTTTGAATCTGGTATCCAGTTTTTACTTACATCCATACTGTAATGTATTAATCTGAAGGTCTGCTTTTTGATCCTGGGCTCCTCCAGTCTGCGTGTCCTTGGGCAAGATACTAAACCCCAAATAGTTTCAGAAGGCTGTGCCGTTGGTGTGAGTGTGTGTTAGTGTCTTTGTGATGAGACTTGTGCCCATAAGTTCATGAAGCAGTTTAATTAAAGTCCCGGGCTGAGTGGGAATTTTTCATTCATGTTGAAACATTTTTAACTTGGATACATGGTTGGATACCCATGTAATGATTTACAGAGCATGCTGTTGCCTCACAAAGACTCATCATTGTTACACCAAACAAAATAATGTCTGGAAAGAACATGGTTATTTAGGGAAAGAGGACAGCAATATAAATCTAATGACCATACTGAGACTGTGGACTGGCACAGGTCCAGCAAAAATGAAAAAACATGAAATGAACGAAGTGTGATACTATACAAAAGTAAACTCCATGGATGCGCTGGATGTATCATATGATGCTGTGCCTTTGTCTTTACAGAGTTGCAAAGTAGGAAGAACTAATTTGGCAGTTTGAGGAAGTAAAATACCTTTTTATTTTTCCCGTAGATAATGTTACATAACTCACAGTTCAGCAGCTCGGATCCTGGTCTCCTTCAGTGAGAATGAACCAAAACGCTAAAGCTGGGCAGTAAAACCAATGAGAAAGAGAGACAAAGAGAGAGAGAGACAGTGAGAGACAGACAGACAGACAGACAGAAAGAGAGAGACAGACAGACAGACAGACAGAAAGAGAGAGAGAGAGACAGACAGACAGAAAGATAGAGAGAGAAAGAAAAAGAGAAAGAGAGAGAGAAAGAGAGAGACAGACAGACAGACAGAAAGAGAGAGAGAGAAAGAGAGACAGACAGACAGAAAGAGAGAGAGAGACAGACAGACAGAAAGAGAGAGAGAGAGACAGACAGACAGAAAGATAGAGAGAGAAAGAAAAAGAGAAAGAGAGAGAGAAAGAGAGAGACAGACAGACAGACAGAAAGAGAGAGAGAGAAAGAGAGACAGACAGACAGAAAGAGAGAGAGAGACAGACAGACAGACAGAGAAAGATAGAGAGAGAAAGAGAGAGAGAAAGAGAGAAAGAGACAGACAGACAGATAGAGAGAGAGAGAGAAAGAGACAGACAGACAGATAGAGAGAGAGAGAGAAAGAGACAGACAGACAGATAGAGAGAAAGAGAGCTAATTAATTAATTTTAGGGGTTTTTCCCCTATTAATATACACACACATATACGGTTGTATCTATTCATTAATTTTAATTTTTAATATATTAATAATACACACGTTACTGTGTCATTTACTTTTATTTATTTTTTATTTTTTTTTATACACACACACGTTACTGTTTCTTTTTAATTTTTAAATTTTGTTTTATTTTTCTGCCCACACATTACTGTGTCATTTACACACACACTTACTGTTTATTTATTTACTTCTTTTTTTATATTAATTTTTATGGAATTTTTATATTTTATATATTTTTTTTATTATTATTATTTATTTTGTATTAACACACACAAACACAACTGTTTTATTTTTGTTTCTAATGAAATGTATGAAAGTAATTGTCCTTATATACTTTATATATACTGTAGCTTTGGCAATATAGTTGCTATACATTCATGCCAATAAAGCTAATTTGAATTTGAATTTGACAGAGAGAGACAGAAAGAGACACAGAGAGAGTTTTATTTATTTATTTTATTTACATTTTTAATATATTTTAATGTTTCTAACACACACACACACAAACACTTTAATTACTTGTTTAATGAAATGTATGGGGTTGATTGTTCTTATGTAGTTTGTATGATGCTTTGGCAATATTGTTGTTCATTCATGCCAATAAAGCTAGATTGAATTGAATTGAGCGTGTGAGTATGTAGTGTCATTCTGTGAGGTTGGAGTTTTTGTCACATGAGCGCAGGAACAATCACTGAGACTATCAACAGCAGAATTTCTGCAAAGATGACAATGAAGACTTTTCTTAAACCTCCACACCACTGAGCTGCAGCAAAACATGTTTCCTAACAATAGCTGTCACCTTATCTTTTCAGAGAAGACTTGGCAGCATTACTGGGTCAGGTATACAAACCTCTGCTGGAAATTCTCCTGGCAGAAAAACTAAGGGAGATACAAATAATAACAAAGCCTGCTATTTTTGGATGCGAGCCCCTGAGATGTAAAGTCCTGTTGTCAAACAGGTTGGATTAGCTCATCAGCACTGACACAGCCAAGCGGTCTCCAGTGACCCGGAATTTCTCATTTATGTCATGTTTACACAGCCCTCTGGAAAGATGTGTTTCCAGTTCCATTTATAGGTGTTTTTTATAGGTGTCTTTTAACTATTTAATCTATAAGTATATGAGAAATAAAAACATAGTGTCCATGTAAAAAAGAGCCATTATGTTCTTTTTTACATTTGAACCTTATAAACCAAAAGCTGCAGTGCATGTGCATTTCATGTTACGTGTCCGTATGTGTGTGTGTGTGTGTGTGTGTGTGTGTGTGTGTTTTAATTTCATTGGCTCACGTTCTCCTCAGTTATAACTGTACGATTTTTTATTTTACGAGAGCCTGAAGAAACAACCAAATAGATAAAGTTTAGATAATGTTTTAGACAATGAGTGTTGTGAAATAAATGAATCAAATTAAAACTGTTTTATTCCTGAGTGTTCTGAAACAAATGAATAAATACATGAATGCATCTCTAGGTGTTCTGAAACAAACAGGTAAGTAAACTGTAAATGTTGTTGTTTTTTTGTTTGTTTTTTGAGTGACACAACTAAATATGATAATAGATCAGATAAATGGTGCCAACTGCACGTCAAAAAGGAACAGCCTTCAGGAGCAGTTTGGGGTTCAGGATCTTGCCCGAGGACACTTCGACGTGCCGACCTTTTCATTAGAGGACTGCTTTACCTTGACTTTGTGCTCTGAAATAAACAAAAAAGTCAAGAGATTTTTTTTTCTTGGTGTTCTAAGACAAAAAGTGTAAAGGCTAAAATCTTTCTATCGTTTCATTTCTGAGAATTCTGGACAAATAAATGAAAAAATTTCTAAGTGTTCTTAAACAAGTATGTGCAAAGAAATGAATACAGTTTGTTTTGCTTTTGGTCAGAAATAAATAAATAAACTTTTAATTCCTTGTTACATGGAAGTGTCCTGGAGTAAACTAAACTGAAAAAAGTAAATATTACTGTTAATATTATACTGATATAGGCTACAGACATGAGATCATGTATACACATGATACAGGCGTTCATCCATTCACACACTGATGGAGCTGCCATGCAAGGTGCCAACCGCTCCTCAAAAAGGAACTAATCACTCTCAACAGAAACTACACACACAAACAAACAACCAGGTAGGTGTTATAGGCTAGTTACAGCCTCATGTCGGTTCAAAGGGTCAAAAAGGGCACTCTTCATACAGACTGTGAGCTCTCTTCAGCAACAGTTTCCAGTGACAGCATCTTTCCTATGAGCTGCCAGCGCCCTCAGCCTCTCTGCACTCAAGAAGTGTGTGTGTCATGTTTTTATAATCATGTCATGTTGGTGACTTTAACCTGAATGCTTACTAACCCATGGGGACTCCTGTCACCCTGGGGACAGAAATTGTGGTCCCCACAGTTGGAGACGTTTATATTATGTTTCATCTTAGTGCCTCTCTTAGTCTTCAGGTTACTGTTAGGAGCTAGGGAATCCATTATGTCAATGCCCACGGGGAAAGAGGAGCAAAGTTGTGTGTGTGTGCGCGTGTGTGATCCTGGGCTGAGCTCATTCTGATGCATTCCTATAACAGTGGCCCTCTCACACCTCCCCGACAGGCTACAGGCTACTTTCACCGAGGAAAGAGGAAGTTGAGGAAATAAAATGTATTTCCGTTTACTCATGCCGCCGGTTTTTCCCATCTGGGCTCAATAAATAGGGAGAGCATGGTGGCTGGTAAAAGCAAAGCAGATTCCCTTGTTAACAGTCAGTCACAGGAGAGAGACAGAGGATGGACATTAATCAGGTGAGTGACCCACATACAGGACAGGACCGCTGCTGAGACCAGCTGCCCTCTGCCTCCTCCATCACCTCAGCTGTCTGTCTGCCCCTCCACAGATTCTCATCATTGGACTTTTTCTGGTGCCGGCGTGGACGCACGGGATGCACCAGTGCTATGATGAGGACAAGCTGCGTGACGCAGCAGAGAGGAAGCTGAGGAGGCGCTTCCAGCAGCCTGTGGAACCCGTAACTACGGCGGCCCCGGACTCCCCCGCCTCCTGCCCCCTGGAGCTCTACCGGCACAAGACGCCTAAGGACCTCCACGAGAGGTCCCTGTCCCCCTGGAGATATGTGTAAGTAACATCCTGGCCTACTTTCACCAAGATGCACGGCACTAGAAATAAAATCATTTATTAAAAACTTTTAATGAACATAACCGCTCAGTTGGACCTATAATCGTTCTTTTAAGGGAAATGTTTCTGGACCCTATCTTCATATGATCCTAAACTTTTTTAAAAGCACGGCCTAACTTGGTGATATATGCTTGCAATTTGGCTGGGTTTTGGAAAAGATCAGGTAGCGCTATGGGTTATAGGCTAAGAAGTAGCCTGCGTTTACAGTGACGCTAAATTTATAACCCTCCCTTTTAGCAGATAACCTGGAGCAGAACCGTGACTCACGGTTCACCCATCCATCCTGAGTGTTTGCACATGATGGAATGGTGCAGCCATAAAACATCAGGCATCACTCCGCATCATTGAAATGCTAGAATAATTCTTAAACTGAATTCTTGCACAGCTCATAAATAAAATGCCTCATGTTGCATTTGTGTACACGGATCAACCTGTTGACCCTGAAATAATTGTTTTGCGCTCCGATGACGCTGTGGCCTGCGTCACGCCCGTGCACCAGAGAAGGGAAAGTCCCTTGTACATCCAATGTTTGCAGATTTGTAGGCTCATATCAGCTTGGATTGACGTGAAATGTGCTGTCCCTGTTGCACTTGACTGGAGAGATTTTTCCTGCACCTGCAGCTTCCTAAAGTCTCTTTTTCCTCATCTTCATTGTTCACTGTGTGCAAGCAGTCAAACAGCCAAACTGCAGTAGTATTATTTTCCCAGTAAACTATCATGCTGGAGTCCTGACCTCAGGTTTGCTGTGTGTCAGTTAGCTTGTAGTTTAATTAAACACAACTTTATGAAGAAAAAAAATTCAAAATAAAACTAGATTTTGACACGTGGCTCATGGACAAGTACATCTGCTAAAAGGAAGCCTACTTAACTAATTTAAACTTCTACTGCACTACATTTCAGTGGGAAACATTGTACATTTTACACCATTACATTTATTTACCAGCTTTAGTTACTAGTTTCCTTTCAGAGTAAGATTACATAATCAACAGATTCCTTTAAAAGATACATTGTTAAATATTAAGCCAGTAGTTCTGTCTCTTGTTCTGCCTGCTGGGTTTAATAACTAACTATATATAAAGTAGTTATAATTAGTCACACCTTGAAAAGCTAACAGTAAAGGCACCTTATGCATTGTTGTATCAGTAACAATCTAATAATGTCTTATATTGTAATTTATCAGTCACAGGGGCTGAGTTTAAGTATTTACTTTGATTATTCACCTACATTTACTGATACTTAAGTACAATTTTCAATGAACAAATTTTACTGGGGCAGTTGGTAATTCAGCCTTGCTGAAGGCTCAGGTCATGATGAGGAGAAGTGCCGTCCAAATGACGCTGTAGTCTAAACTCTTACACTGTCTTACACTGTGTGGTTTTTGGCAGGCATCCCTGTGCAGGTTTTATGTATGTTAGAGCAAAGTGCAGTTGTGAAAATCCTCTACCTCTGGAAAAAACATTCATGTATTTAATTTCTTGGGGTAGAAAAAGGATTGTGAAATAGATTTAGAAATGTTCAGGAAAGCATCATTTTATTGGATGTCACAGATCCTTTCTGACATGCTGCTCATTGTGTTGCTCTTTTCCAGACGTAAGACAATGGAGGATCACTTTCCCTCCACCTACACCGAGGCTCAGTGCCTGTGTTCAGGATGCATCCTGATCCAGGAGAACCGCAACTCAGTGGGGGACAAGAGACATCCAGTGGAGAGCCACGATTACAACTCAGTGCCCATAAAGCAGAGCAGGGTGTTTCTCAAGAGGGAGCTCTGCTACGACAAAAAGAGATACCATTTGAAGCCAGTTACTGTGGATGTAGCTGTGGGCTGCACCTGTGCCAGAGTCAAGACCTCCTCCTCCTCCTAGAGGGGAGTGTCAGAGTGGTACACTACAGATCATAATGTGTTTGTTTTAAAATACACCAAGTTCCATGGAAAGTCTATCTCAGAGGTGTCAAGTCCTACGTGTGATGTGATCAGTGATTCAGCAGACTGGACATTGGTCCAGGATGTTGTCTGATTGGAGGTTGACCTGGACTCATGACATGCCGACACCCCTGTGATCATTTATGAGGCTTCAAAAGTCACATCAGCCTGTTTTTAAAGGCCTATTTATTGTCATAATGATGACATCATAATTGATACATTAATAATATGTGTTTTGTAGGTCGTTATAGGCCCTGTTTGCTCTGTTTAATGACTTGTTTACAGCTCTGCATAGTGCAGCTAATGTGAACTGGGTATTACTATGTACTTCTTTTCATATTGATGGCCTTGTCATCGAAGAAAATAGCTATTGTATAGTTTGATAAAATACTGATCTAACTAATAATAATATTTAATTATCTATTTATTTGGTTTGATTTGCGTGTGAAATGTCTGAGCATTTGAAGGCTTTAGAATGCTTATGAGTGAATGAGGAAGCCTGTATTTATTTACTTTGGATATTTTATAGATATTGTCTCTTTATAAGTCTAATAAAGACTTAATTAATAAAGTTTAGCTTCTTTGAAGCAAAATAAAGAAAAATGTTTGAAGAAATTCTCAGTGTGTCTGGATACTTCTAGCTCAAGTTCTACATTAACATCTGCCGACTGCAGGACTGCTCTACCAGCCACAGACTCATAGGTGTGAAATAGGGATAAAATAGCTCAATAGTGCCCTCTGCTGTCTCAGCAGCAGCTGCACCACAGGTAAACTGAAACAGCACTTGCCTGGACAGAGAACTGGGACTGGGACCATAAGGGTCCAGATGATTTCAGCTTGTGAAATGATGTACAGAAACCATTTCCAAGACTGCACCTCTCTGTCACTCAATTTGAGTCTTTCATGCCCATATGACTGACGGTATTGAATTGCGTGAACATGTGAATGGGAAAAACCCCCAACAGAACTTCAAGTTTGTAAATGTGTAAAAAACACATTTGAGCAGTTTGCAGATGTAATTAGTTAATTAATTTTCCCGGCCCCTCCAGCCTGCATGTCCTTGAGCAACATGCTGAAGCCCAAATGAATGTCAGTGAATGTTTGTTCCATTCTGATGTGCAGTTGGCACCAACCGTGGCCTCTGCCATCAGTGCTTTTATTGAGTTCAAGTCTCTTTCCTAGGGACCAGGAAGGATTTTTATTTCCTAGAATTATTGGTTTATTTTCTAAAGGTATTTTTATTGTGAAAATTACTACAATAAATTAATTAACTCCAACAGATAGTTCCTCAACAACCCCGACCTTCTAATGTAAGGTCATCATCATCCCTCTGCGACAAGGAGTCATTTGTATCTGAAAGAGACTTTGTGTAGTGAGTTCACCCCGAAAAACTATTGGTCATCAACAAAACTAACTAAATGATCCACAGGACAATGCATGTTTTCACGTTCCACTATCCCCATAGTGACCGCTCATTAACAATGTATTCCCTAACCCCTTACCTTAACCATCACAGCTACATGCCTAACCTTACCCCTTAAACAGCCCTTTAATCTTGTGGGTCTAGCATTTTGGGCCCCACAAGTATATTGAAATCCCAGTGGATGAATCAGTGACAGACTCCAGTTCTAAGAGCAAAAAGTTCAGACATTTCAATCAAGAACTTCAATACCACCACCATGTTAACAGCTCTATTTATTACAAAGTGGTGACACATTTAACACTCGTTGAAAATTATTTTAAATGTGGGAATTAACACAATAAGGTAACAAATCGTTTCCTCTGATATGAACCTCTGGGCTGAGACACCTCCAGGAAACCCGCTTCAGTCCGTTTATGTGGCAAACTTCTTCTGCCGGACAGGTGCAGGCAGCTGAGCCATGATGTCCAACAGGGGGCGCTCCACTACCACCAGAGAATGGTCCTCCAATATGCTCACACACATGAGGTGCTGTGGGGCCAAATATCAGCAGAACATAAAACATCAGAAAGATAAAAAAAAAGGTCAAATCAAACATATGTTCCACATTTGTTGTTTGGATGGGGACGTTAAAACTATTAACAATTAGAAATGTTCTTCTCTTAGGACATGTTTCATCTTCAGAGCTTTGTTTGCATTCATGTGTAATGATATTTGTCAGGAGCTCTCTCAACGCATTCAATGGTCACTCAAACCTGACTTCTTGACCTGTATTTTACCATCTCAGCAGTGCCCTAAAGAACCCCCGCCAGTGCCTGGCCGTTTCTCAGTCTGACTCGCTGCTTAGAGACAGTGCAGCAGTGACAGTGGAGCTCCACTGGTCTCACTATGGTGACGGTACCTGGAAATTCTTGCATATCTTAAAGGCGTGGCTGTGTCTGATCCTCTCGGGCTCAGGAAGACTCCTCAGTGTCAACTGATTGTAGAGCAGGGCCTTCGCTTCAGGGAGGGGCTGCATGTGGAAGCAAAGACACAAAAAACATAGTTTCAGTATTTTTTAAAATTCTTTCACTGACCGCTAGAAAACTGAAAACACACACATTCTCGTTCTCAAGGCTTTGCATCGACATGACAGACAGTTTAAATGACTGGCTACATACCAGACTCTGGTCAATGATGCAGAACATAAACATGTCGTGCAGAATGATGTGAGCTGGGTTTTTAGGATTGAAAGCGACGTGGGTGACGGGTGTGTCCCTCTCCAACCACAGAGAGTGCAGTCCGTGTTTCTGCAGCGTCCGGCTCCACTCTGTGTATTCCTTCTGTACTAGAGAGTACTCCAAGATCTGCACCACACACACAGACACACACACAGTAAGAGAGCTGTTCTGTGCATCAATCTCAGCATTATCTTTGAGGAAACTTCATGTCCTGCTTTTATTGTGGAAGGCAGAGCAGCTGATTAGATAACAAAAGTCAAACAAAACCTGATGCCGCAGTGTTTACCTGCTGGTCAGCGTGCACCGCGACAAGGTTGCTGGTTGTTGGGTGGATGGCTATGGCAGTGGGACAGGAGCTGTACACAGGAACTGTACAATGAAGCTGCAAACAAACAGAAGGAATTTAAGGCTGGAGCTTTGGCTACGATAAAAAATAAAAAAAATGTTATCAAGACATATCCGAGTTCCAACGCACCTTTAGCTTGTGAAGGTTGTAGACGTGGATCTCACAGTCTGTGTTTGCGGTAGCGAGCCATTTGCCATCCTCACTGGCAAACAGCAGGTGGACTGGCTGTCTGGAGCCTGGATTTCATACAAAGACAAGTTATACACTAAAAAAAACCAAACAAAAATAACAAAACAGACAGCTTCGGTGTGGTAGGTTAGGTGGCCAACAAATGTATACAAGTATGCATCAATATGATTTCACAAAGTTGTTTTTGCTTTCTTTGTATTATATTTAGCATCTCATAAATATTTAACTCACAATCTTTTTGGAGAAAATGTCTTGGATATTAGTGCATACAAATACACAATGTTGACTAAAAGCAGTGTTTGCTCATTAATGGCCTTTAAAAAACCCACACAGATCTAGGTCTGACTAGATCCTATCAGGGTCTTGTTGCGATTGACCCTCAAAGTTAGTGTTTCCATAAAAAACACAGTTTTAGCTTTACCAATTCAAATAATATATTCCCCCATGCGGCCCTCACGGTTACACCATGATCACTTGTCACTGGGACCCGGGACTGAGACTCACCTGACTTGGGTTTGAGAGTATGAAGGTATTTGCACTCGGGCTGGCTGAGGGCAACAACAATGACTGAAGAATGACTGGTGGAAGCAAAGAGCCTGGAGGAGTCCGAAGAGAAGCAGAGCTGGTGGGCCGAGCGAAAGTCCTTAGGTAGTTTGGACACCTTTGAGGGAGTAAGAGGAAGAAAACAGAGAGGGGTGAGCTTCATCAGGATCCTCATCACCTACATACATCAGAGTGCAACACTGAAATCCTCAAACACATTCTGAATGTTTTACAGTGAAACCTCACCAGCTCACTCGTTCTACTTCTGTCGAGAGAATGAGCGAAATGTAAGACTAAGTTCTGTAAACAGTGATCCCCAGGTAGTTTATTCAAGTTGGAGATCTCATGCACAAACAATTTTGTTGATGGACAGGGCTGTGTGAACAATGACTACTGCACAGGAGCATAAGGGAGCAGTAGAGTCAGCGCTGAGGAGCCCACCTTGGTGATGCTGATGTTGTTGTGCTGTAATCTGTAGAGACGGACACTGGAGACAGTGGAGTACGCCAGCCAGCCTCCACACGGAGACAAGGCACTGCAGCAGATCTGATCATCTCCCTGCAGAGCACAGCACACAGTCAGCTTTTTGTTACAATGTCCTCTGTACTTAAAGATTAAATTAAAAACAGCCAAAAGCAGTGAGGTAAACTGACACATATTATGGAACTAGATGTCTGCTACTAATGTCTAAACAAGGCTAGAAAAAGATCAACATCGCAATGAGATTGTTGTTTGGTGTAACACTGTAAAGGAGCCTTATCACACCAAGTCAACAGCGTAACAAAGTAGATTTGTTTGTCTCGTCTGTAGCAAAACAGGAAAGAAGGCAGATAAAGCCTCATAGAACCACGTGATTCATCAATATACTTGTTAAAACATTTTTCTGCAGGACACGAGACTTCTACTTCACTGTAAAGCTTTTGGGAGAATTTTCACAAGTTGGTTAGCTAGAGGCGGACGAAGAAAACGATCATCACTAAAAAGTCTGCTGCAACTGGCCTTTGTTCTCTACCACTGTACCTTGTTCTTCTGTATTGTCGTGAAGTTTCAGAGCGACAGGAGCCATGTTTCCATCTAATTGTCTAACTGGTTTGGATCAAATAAACTAGGCAGTTCTGTCAGAAGTTGACGTTACGCATGGCCGTAATAAACAAGTAGAGGTTGTAAACTGGAAACAAAACCTGTCGCATGGACGTGAGAAAATGGAGAGAAGTCTTCAGGAATGTGTTTGAACTGGGCAAGTTGTTCTTTCGTGTCAGCTAGTACTGGCCATGTTTCATGCTGTCCGGAGACAGAGACAAAGAAACAGCTGATCAGTCATGCAAGTTAAATGTTCGCTACGTGTGTTTCCATCTCCCATTTAGCGCATTAACTCTTTTTCAAAAAAGACAAAAAGGCGAGCAAACGAACAAACTTTTTCATAAATGAAAAATGTGTCGACGATAACACGACGAGGGACAAACAGCGTCCCCGTAACCATTGTAACTTAACTCTCAATCCTGCCTGCGCCCGCACGGTGTGAGAGGAGAAGTAGAAACACGTTTGTGTACCGCGACGGACATCAGTGGTTATAATGGTTTTCTACAATGTACAAACAAACACCAGTACACACCTTCCTCTTCAGCTGGATAAGTTTCTCTGGTTTTCTCTTCACACGTAGACTGTCACCAGGCTTTCCTGTTAACAAACAGGATAAACAGGCACAAATATTACACTATAACTGGTTCTGCACTATAACTATAAATGTTCTTTTTGCATTGCAACACATCTCTATGGATGTGTGTTTTCCTCACCATGTCCATCGCTCTCCCCCACTCTCCACAGCTCTAAATGATC